GAGCACAGCAGTCATGAGAGAGCCAGGGAGAGGGCTCTGTCTGCAAGCCAAGGAGAGTGCCCTCACTAGAAACAAGCCCTGGAGGCCCCCTTGATCTGGACTTGCAACCCTTAGAACTGTGGGGAAAGTGCCTACTGATCAGGTACCTTCCAAAGGCCTTATCTCATGGCCTATCATCACATTGGGGTTGGGATTTCACCATAAGAATTTTAGGCAACCTAAACATTTAGTCCCCTGAACGGTGTTCTTAGCCATTGCCTTCTCCTGTATCTTCAATGGCAGGGATCCCCACAGTTTATTTTGTATCTTGTCACATTATTGGGTTCACTCAAATCTTCAGAGGGATTATGTGTATCAAATTAAAATCTGTTTAATTTCTACTCCTTGGTTATGTCTCTGCTCTTTTGAGTAACAAAATGTGTGTTCTTACCGAACATGACAGTTTCGGATATCCTTCTCTCCCCTGTTGTTTTCAACATTACAGAACTATTTTATTCAGTATCGTTAGGACAGTTAATACCACTTGGTTTTTAAAAGCCCAGACTGGAAAGGTAAATCAATCTGTAAGAACGTAAGTAAAGTAGGAGCCTAATTAACACCGAGACACATTTTTTTTTTGTTCTTTTTGGTGAATATCTATCATTAGATCATTTTTAAAGTGGAAATAGATCGCAGAAATAGACTCTCCATTTTTTTTATATTTGAATCAGTAAAATCCATCGCTCTCTTTTCTGTTCAGTATGATACAGCCTTTCCTATCAATGTTATCCTATTGCACGTTTATCTTAACTCTTGATAGTATTACACAGACTAGAAGAGATCCTTCAAATGAATCCTATCTTCCAATCCTATAGTGGCAGAAAGTTTATCATTTTTTTTTCTTTTTTGTGCCAGTCTCCTGTCCCATCTACTCAAAGGATGGGAGGTGAGCTTACCTCCCTGTACACAGCCAGTGGCTGTGACTCCCTTGTCACCTCTGCTCATCAGATTGGGCATGTCAGCTGAGCACAGCCAATCTGGTCAACTCAGTCATTTTCTCAGGTGATTGGTTCTAAGGACCTGTCTGTGATGGACCAGTATCTAGATGATGGTATTAGAGTTCAGAGCGATGAACTTGGAGGTGACATTCTGTTAGAGTGAAGTATCATTGTGTGGCGGCACCTGGGCTGTGTTGTGTTCTGTTTAGTCCGAGCCTGAGTCTGGGATCCCCTCTCTCTGCAGACAATGAGCTACTTTAAATTTCACGAGCAGAAAACTGGGCCAGTTTCTTGCCTTTGACCAGGAACCTCAAAGGTACAAGTTTATTTGACAATTTCCAAGTCATCCACTAGGACACTGGTGTTCATTCATTGCCGCCTACACACATGTAAGGTCTGCATGTTCTTGTTAAGGAATGTCCTCCCTTGGGTGGATAACTGCTGTTTATGTGTAGTTGGAAATGATCTCTTCTCATCCTTAACTGTTTAACTTTCAGAGGACTGCTTGGAAGAATTTTTTACCCTTTCCAAGTAGGTACTGACTGTTAAGAGAAGGCAGGCAGGCAGGGGACATGCCGGAATGCTGGCTGGTAGAACACAGGACATGTTTTAAAGGACTAATTAGTAATCCTGCAGCTTGTACACAGTTCAATTGCAAATGTCACAAGAAAGGTTGGTTTGCCAGTGGTCAGGTAGTTATTTGGGGGAAATGAGGTGGGTTTTCTTTGTTTCCTTTTGCTACCTACCATACACTTCTCACTTCAAAAGGCCATATAGTTAATAAATAATCTACTGTAAGTTATTTTAAAATAGGGATTCTAGATGACTAGCTTGTGGTGGTGACTGTTTGAATGAGAACATTGCATTTAGATATTTATAGTCTGTTCTAAAAACAATGTTTACAGTTTCCATATAGTGTTTATTGTCTAGTAAAACTTTTCTCAGCACCAGACTATTTTGCTGAGTCATAATGGACTTGGGAGGAATTTCCTGAGCTGGAAATCTTATTGGGTGAACTAGGGGGTGACTGTTACTGAGGTCAGGGGCTCCCAATAACCCAGAAGCAGTGTGCAGTTTTGTATTGGTGTGTACAAGTAAGCTCCCGCACACCTCTCAAAGGGTCAGTGAGTTAGTTCCTTCTTAGGGATATAGGATCCCCAAACAAGGGAGAGCAGGAAGGTGTTCTGTGTTTGGCAGTTTCAGGAGCAGTAGGAACATGGGCATAGGTTTCTGATTTATTCCTAAGTCTGGAACTGCTGTGAAGAGGGGGGATTTAATGTCTTGGGTGCCCAAGGCTGTTTGGTGAGTTCTTTAAAAGTGTGTGGTTGAGTTTGGTGGTTGGTCTTTTTATTTCTCCTCCTCCTCTTCCTTCTCCTCTTCCTCTTCTTCTTCTTTCCCTCTTCTTCCCGTCCTCCTCCTCGTCCTCCTTCCCTCTTTCTTCATCTTCTTGTTTTATTGGGAAGAGTTTCACTATGTAACCCTGGCTTTTTTTTTTAACTTGCTCTGTAGACCAGGCTGAACCCAAACTCATCACCCTTCTGCCCCTGCCATCTGGTGTTTTAGACTTAGATATTTCTCTAGCTTCTTGTCAATCATCTTTGTTGTTGGAAGTAATTATTCTTATATCTTGGAGGGTTTACTTGTAAGTGCCTTCCGTACCTCCTCTTAATTTTGAACTTGCACAAATAATTCTTAGAAAAATCCTTGTGTTTGCACCATCAGCTGATTTCCCTCATAATCTGCATATTACGTTTATGCACTTCCAACTCTATACCTAACTTGATTGATCATTTCTTTTATGGTTGATTTTAAAAAGAAGTTCATGTCCATTTGACACTTCATTTCAAAATACATTTTAAAATAAAGTCAATTTGTGTGTGTGTCTGTGTGTGTGTCTCTGTGTGTGTGTGTCTGTGTGTGTGTGTGGTGTGTGGTGTGTGTCTGTGTGTGTGTGTCTCTGTGTGTGTGTGTGTGTCTGTGTGTGTGTGTGTGGTGTGTGGTGTGTGTCTGTGTGTGTGTGTCTCTGTGTGTGTGTGTGTCTGTGTGTGTGTGTGTGGTGTGTGGTGTGTGTCTCTGTGTGTGTGTGTGTGTGTGTCTGTCTGTGTCTGTGTGTGTGTGTAGGTTATAGGTCAGACGGTGTTGGGCATCTTCTTTGATCTCTTCCACATGAACTTTTGAAACATGGTTTCTCACTGAACCTGGGGCTCATGGACTTGGTTAGGCAGGCTGGCCACTGAGTCCCAGGGATTGCCTATCTATTTATTCCTAGAGTTAGGATTACCGATGTGTGGGGAGGCTTTTATGTACATGGCTTCCAGAATCTGAGGTCAGGTCCTCATGCTTGTGTGGCAAACACTTTATTAACTAAGCCGTTTCTCTCGTAGCCCCTAAAATGAGATTTTAAATGACCATCTGTTCAAACTGAGTGCCAAGAAAACCTTCCTATTGGTCAACGACCAACGGGTCCCTCTTTGGCCTCCTGCCTAGTAATACTGAGAACTCTAAGAGACCAATGTTTTAGAAGCACAGTTGTAGGCCTACATGGTTTCCTGAAGTCTAGGGAGGTTTTGAGTTCCCTATTATTGTGACGGGTGCCTGAGGGAAACAAACTAAAAGGAGGGAAGCTTGATTTTGGCTCACAACTTACAGAGCTTTAGTCCATGGGAGGCTGACTCCATGTTTCTGGGTCTTTAGCAAAGCACAAACTCACAGTAGAAGGGTGTGTCAGAGGAAGCTTGTTCACCTCTGGGAAACACACACACACACACACACACACACACACACACACACACACACACACACACAGAGAGAGAGAGAGAGAGAGAGAGAGAGAGAGAGAGAGAGAGAGACTCCTGTGACTAGTTTTTTCATCTTTTTAATTTTCTCCCTCAGTTATGGACCCACATGTCAGTTGTCTCTGGAGACATGCTCATAGACACATGGAAGAGTGTGCCTTACTAATCTTTGAGGTATCTCTCAATCTAGTCAGGCTGACAGTCAAAATTAACCATCATAGGAAGTGCACATTTTAAAAAAATTACTTTGACAGCCTAGTATCGACTGTGAAGACTGGGAAGTGGAATGGCGATATAGTGTGTAGCTGCTTTTCTGAGAATCCACCTCATCTTAGAGGCATTTCCTTTAAAGTGTTCCAGTGTATTCCAGTTTACCGAGATGCCTGTCAACTCTTTGCCTAACTATAGGCTTGAGTGCTGGCAGTTAATACTGGGAAAAGTTATGCAGCCCATTTTCCATCTTATAAAGGGGGATTAAAATGCTTGCTGCCTACTCCTTTCATTGGGTGTTGTAAGGATTAATGAGATCATGCTAGTAATGTGCCTTAAACTCAATGGAAGGAGTAGGTATGGGGAACCCCAGGTGTTACATTGCTATTTAACTCTTGGCTTTTACTCTGCTATTAAGTTTCCATTTATTTTGTTCACATGTTGCTTTGGACAATAAAGCAAAAAGCTATATTAAGCTTGAGGCCCATCTAGTGGGAGTGATAATATTCATGTGTCAGAATGGAGGAGTGAGTCTAGTCACATGTTTTAACTTCCATCCACTGCAAAAATCACATAAGCCTGAACCATGAAAGTGGGGCTGGACACTTTTTCTGTGGTTCACAGGGTCTTCTTTGTCTACTCAGTTCTTTAATAATCTATAAGTGTTTATACTTTAAATGGAGTAGTAAATTGTCATCTTGGTAACTTAATGTGTGTACATTCTCACCAGAGGGTATGATGCATGCTGTCATGTGCACTGATGTGTTGGGATTTGAGAGGAAAAGGCTGGCTGGCAAGCTTGTGGTTTCTTTGTGAAGGGTCCCATGGGGCTGCTGGTTCCTGAAGGACACAGCCCTCTCTCCATAGGTAGAGCTTTCCCTGATTCCATTTGGAGAGGCTTCTTTTACCCTTTAGTGTTAACGTGTTCATATATTTTCAGGTAGTATAAACTGGCGTGCATAACTGAGTGTATTATTCATCTTCATGCTCCAATCAAATACTGGAGGCAGACAACTTATAAAGAGGCAGTATTTATATGCTTGACAGTTTTCGAGTTTGGCTAGGGAAGCATATGTTGGCACTTCATGGTGGGGACAGATGTAGTAGCAAAATGGTCACATCTTGAACTGAAACTGAGAGAGAAAAGATGGGTAAGCTTCCATAATTCCTTCCCAAGCCCCTCAACTTTTTTGTTTGTTTAGAAAGAAAAAGTTTTATTCAGAATGAACCTTAATACAATAAAAAGACCACTCCCATCTAAGAAATCTACAAACGTCTCAAAATCAGGCAGAAAAGGAATTCCAATTATAGCATAAAATAGAATCTTTTGATGGAGACTTGCATACTTGGGGAAAATACCAGCCCCTTTTTCCTACACTAACAAGAAAAGTTCTCGGTGTGCCCAGTCAATTCTCAGGAAAAGCTATTGAGGAAACCAGTTCTTTGGTTGTTCGTTGGTTCATTTGTTTGCTTGGTCATTGCTCATACTTGACAAGGTCATAAAAGAAAGCAATAGATCTGCTGTTGGGTAGAGACAAAGGGTAAGAGTGACGGCTATGAACATTTGATCAGTTCCCTTGTTGGTTAATGATACAGAGTCTTGTGAACATCATCAGTACTGGAGTAAGAGTCACTTTGAGGGTCATACTGAAATGACCCCCATGTGCTTCTAACGCTGGGGTATCAGCTTTGTAGCTTGTGGAGGCGATTCTGTCAGATTGACACGTGCAGGATCTTAGTGACAAGACACGTAAGATGGATGTGTCTAGTACTAACATTACAAGAGTAGCTATTAAAAAGTGAACACAGGATTAGAACCAAGGTCTGTAGCCAGAGGGTTGCTAATTGAAATTCTTAGAGTCTGAGCCACAAGTATTCAGACTGAGGAGGGAGAACATAGACAAAGCTTCCAGTTCACAATCCCTTTTAAGGATACATTCTTATACCCTACAGGACCCCTCTCTCCACATGGCCTACCTCCTAAACATCCTACCCCTTCCCAATAGGGCCCAAGCCTGTAACACATGTAACACAGCCTCTGAATTGTAGCACTGGCTCTGAGTTTAAAAGTCATATTCCCAAGTGTTCAGAAAGATATTTATGAATGACCTATGAATGAAGCCATTGTGATAGATAACAGCAAAGTTTAAAATAATGTTGATATTCAGGATGGCAGTTGGGGTGGGGAGGAGGAAATTAGATGGAAGAAAAATAATTCTGAACTTTTTTTTTATTCCAGAGAAAGAGAATGCCTAATTGTTAACATATTCTAAGCAACGAGTTGGGGAGTTAGGCACATTTAAAAATAGCAATTTAACATGAATGAGCTTTTATATGAGCTGCGCTTCAATGAAGAATAAAGTAGTCATGGAAATTGTATTTTAGTAGTCTATTTTAAACATTGGATTTTTAACTAACATTTGAGATTTGTGAAAGAAAATGAAAAAGTCTAACCTAAAAGCAGCACAAGAGATTAAAAATCTGGATAAGGGTGTATACCCTGTGAAGCAATCTTGGTTACCTTATTTAAATGTTATGCTTTCTTTGAGTTTTAAAATAAGTAAAAGGGGTTATAAAAGAGAAACCACTAATTTGTAATGAGTTGAGAATCCATGTAAATGCAGGAGTCTTTTGTGCCTCTTAGCAGAAAAGTAATTCAAAGCCTCTCAGGACATTTTAACAGCTTTGGAGATCAAGGGAGGCCTTGCCTAGGGAAGTCAAGAATAGCCCAGGAGGTAACTCTTCAAGGAAGTAATCATTGCTTGTTCTGAGAACTGATTCTGAGGCAACTCAGTCTTTGAAATTAAAACAACAACAACAAAAGGCCAAAAACCAATAAGGGTTTTGGATTGTAAGGAAGTTTGTGTGGGCAAATAAAGAATAATAAACTAGAATCAGGGACTATTTTAATTAATCTGTCTTGTCTAAATATGTAGAAATATATGTTGCCTGCTTAAAATATTTCTTTCCTTTGCACCTGAGGAGTTACTGCACCTATGGGGGATACATTAGGTGGGAAATAATTTACCCAAACCAGGTGCCATCTGCCACAGAGTGGTAGTGAGCAGGGGGCATGGTGTGGAATATAAATAAATGTAGAGAGCAGCCAGTGAAGAAACATATTATCAAGTTAGGGTTTCCACATGCACACATATACAAGTACATGTGCACTCCTCATCACACATCTGCCCTGTACACATATGGATATGCCACACACATGCAAGGAAAAGAGAAAATTCTTAATACCATTTTAAACTTTTGTAATATTAGTAATTCATTTTTTATACTAGAAACCCCTTGACCATTCATTTCTTCAATTTCTCATTTCTTGTCCCCCCTCCTCAGCCATAATTATAGCTCCTTAAATTGTCTTTATCAGTTAATCTAGAACTCTGATTAGGAATGAATTAAGATATGTTAATCAGAATATAAAATGTCTTTCTATCTTCGTTTATCTTTTCTGTCACTGGTGTGGATTGAACCTGGGGCCTCTTGGATGCTGGACAACCACCCTTTCGTTGTGTGCATTTCTGGTCCCATCTCCTGTTCCTAGTGAGACAATCCCGTGAGCTTTGTCCCCAAGCATACTGACTATAGCACCACTTAGAGTCCTCACCAACTTTCTTCTTTCCTTATTTATTTTAGTTGTTTGGTCTTTGTGAGGCCATTTCCCATTATTCTATGACTTTGGCTTTAATTTGTGACTGACATTCAAAGAGCCCTTTTTCAGATCACCTTTTAAGTAGCTTTCTCTGTTGCTGCTTCTCTTTGATCTTGTCCTTGCTGCGTATTTCTTGAATCCTAGTCAGATATGACAATGATTTTAATAACCATAATCTAAAGGTTAACCTTGAGAAAGCACCTCTTGGTCATGCTTTTCCTTTCCCATTACAATTCCTTCTTACCTACCTAGGACCACACTCCACAGGCTGACATTGATAGTTTCAAAACTCAAGTAGTAACTGAACAACATCTTTGTTGAGCATTCATCTGAGGGCTGAATGCTCCAAGAGAGTGACCTAAGATCATGGGACTTACTGTCTACTTCATCTTGATAGGGGGACCATTTACTGAATGAGAGACATTCTCCCAAATGTCAAGTGAAAGAGGAGCAGCAGTGTTGTTATGTGTGCATCCCAAGGGATGGGCAAACTCCTAAATGTTGTCTACAGGGATGGAGTTTGTAAGTTAGTGTTGGGCCTTGAAAAGAGGTAACTAGCTGTGGCACACACACACACACACACACACACACACACACACACACACACACACCTGTAATCCTAGCACCTCTGCTACACAGTGGGTTCAAGGCTAACATGGGTTACATTGCAAGATTTTTGTTTTTGGTTTTTTGAGACAGGGTTTCTCTATGTAGCTTTGGTGCCTGTCTTGGATCTTGCTTTGTAGCCCAGGCTGGCCTCAAACTCACAGAGATCCGCCTGCCTCTACCTCCTGAGTGCTGGGATTAAAGGTGTGTGCCACCACCACCTGGCTCATTGCAAGAGATTGTCTCAAAAAATTTTTAAAAATAAGTGTTATTATTAATGATGAACTCTAGTTTCACTGGTATGATGTTTCTGTAATTAGGACTATAGAGGGAAGGAGAAGGTAGAAAAACAAGGTTGATGTAGTCAGTTCATCACTGAGTCGATGAGTGTGGTTGTGTTAGAATAATGGAAAAATATGAAGAGAAATGGAGAAGGAGGTTGGGGGAGTGATTCAGTAGTAAGTGTTTACCTAGCTTGGTTGAGGCCCTGGGATTGATCCTGGCATTGAAAACAAACTGTCAAGATACAGCAAGTTTAAGCCAGACTATATAGAACTGAAATTTTGATAAAATTTCAAGAAAAGAATTTTGATAGAAAGTCTTTAAAGTTAGCTTCTAATGGACTGTGCCTTTTTATGCCTCGAGACATTGAAAGTGTCATGGCAAAGACTCACTTTTCACAGTCCAGGCCACCTGGATCTTCTGTGATGCTCTCTGAACTCTTCTGCAGTCCACATGGAAGTTGGTGATGTCATAAGCTTCGGAAGCAGCGACTTCCTGCTAGAGAGTCATCTGAGAACTTTGGGAGCTGCTGTGTTCTGGGCCAGTTGGGAGGAAAGGATACTAGCAAAATGCCCGAGATGAGGAATTGAGCTCACCTAACCTAAGTGATTCCTGTCTTTTTTTTTTTATTTTTTTTTTTATTTTTTTTTTTTATTGTAGCTCCCTTCCCAGTTCGTAACACAGAGACTGAAAGATTTCCAGCAATGCTGGCTTCTTCCTGTCAGTCTCCCAACACTGATGGTGATTGGGAGGGACAGAAAGTGATGCCTGACACAGAATTAGCTGCTGGTGATTTGCCTAGGCCCTTTTCTCCTTTGCATTTCCCTGCGTTGAGTTAGGTTTCCACATTTTGAATAACCACCGTTCTTTCCTGTGTGAGTATTTAGTCTGTATCTGAGGTGTGTTCCGATGATACATGCTCCAAGAACTGATAGTCATTACTTACTGAATTTGAATGAGTTAGGCTCAGTGAGTTAGGGAGGGGAATGACTCTTGGTTACCCCTATGTCATTTTAATGAGAAGATCCATAACTGTGCCCTTGGTTGCCATGAAACAATGATAAAACAGCTTCCAGGAGCTTGAGCTATGGTTTCAGCTGAATGTGCAAGAGAAAATAAGGGGCAGGAAGAATAAAACTCTTAATCCATTCGTTTATATCTGCTAATTATCAGTTCTATTATTAACAATATGTATTGTGTGTTTATGTATGTATGTATGTATGTATGTATTATGTATTTGAGATGGAGACCTTGCCAAAATAGCCTCAGAATTTTATATAATTAATTAAAACAGAGCAAATACTAAAATGACAGATATTAAAATGATTGATAATATGACATAATTATTTTTCTTACCTAGTTTTTCTTATGTGCTTAGGTCTCTGTTGTCTAGAAACCTTCCATGAATTCCTTTCATTCAGTTGACTACCATAACCCAAAGCTTATTAGTAATACCTATTTCTTTAGTATCACCATCTATTTATTGTTTGAAATATGCTTCATGGACCGGTAGCATCAATATTGCTAAAAAGTTTGTGAAAATGCAGCCCTAGATACGACCCCAGACCTGCTGAATCAGGACCAGAATTGCAGCAAGATCCTCAAGCATATGGAAACACTCTGGTCTACTTCATTTTTCTTAGCCGTTCTGAGCTAGCCCAGCTGTCATTTTTGGAAGCTGTTCTGTTCTTTTCCAGTGACCTGCCTTTCCTGGGATGATTCTGTTTTCCCAGAAATGCCCTTCTCTAACTTCCTCTCCCTTTCCTTCTCCTTACTCCTTTCGCTTAGTTTGTTAGATGTGTAAAATGTGCTAAGAACTGTGAGTTGGCTTGAGAGTCAACCATATATGAATACAGTTAATGGCCACTGCTGGTCAGACACCCTGGAGAACAGTTTGGAAACATAGAAAGACTTGAGTCTTACATGTATGCTTTCTTTGATTGGAGATTTTCCTAATAGTTGGAAGAGAATGTAAACAAATGTAAAAAGACAGGTCACTGAAACATTACTAACAATAGTAAAAAATTAGTAAGTTGCCCCTATAGCAGAGTTATTTAGTTAAGAAAGTAATATATGGGCCGGGCGGTGGTGGCCCACACCTTTAATCCCAGCACTCGGGAGGCAGAGCCAGGCGGATCTCTGTGAGTTCGAGGCTAGCCTGGGCTACCAAGTGAGTCCCAGGAAAGGCGCAAAGCTACACAGAGAAACCCTGTCTCAAAAAACCAAAAAAGAAAAAAAAAGTAATATATGCATTTAATAATGAAATAAAAATATGTCAAAAGTAAAAGTATTACATATTGTAATGCTATTACAATATACGGTTCCTATATTTCCAGGAAATAAATGTGTAAACTAAGTTGAGATAAATATGTATAAACTAAGTTAATTATGTAAACTATGAAATTTCAAAATAGAAATATAACAATAATACTAACAGCAGCAACTAATTTGATACTTTCAGAAGTCTGTGCTCTGTTCTGTGTCTATCTTTTCTTATTCATAAAAAAGTGTAAAGTCAGATCATTACTTGTAGATGAAGAAATTTAAGCACAGAGAGCATAAGTAACTTATGCCAGGTCACATGGCTCAAAAATGTTTAAATTGCCGGGCGGTGGTGGCACACACCTTTAATCCCAGCACTCGGGAGGCAGAGGCAGGCAGATCTCTGTGAGTTCGAGGCCAGCCTGGACTACCAAGTGAGTCCCAGGAGAGGCGCAAAGCTGCACAGAGAAACCCTGTCTTGAAAAACCAAAAAAAAAAAAAAATGTTTAAATTATGATGTGTTGGCACATTTAAGATAGAGTGCATACACAAAGTTTGCAGGGGATTACTTGTTTCCCATGCGACTAAGACAGTGAGGAAGAACATTCTGGATTATATGTATAATGGTGTGAGAGGTAAGAAGAGATAAGAGGTTCTGGGCATCTGAGGAAGTATGGAACAAAGTAGGGTAGGAAGTTCCAGAGATGAGGAGGGGTCAGAAGTGGATACATGCTGTGACAGTGATTTGAGGATTTCATCTCGGACATAGAAACAGTTAGAAAATTTTAATGTGGAAGAGCCTAGTTTTGAGATTCCCAAGTATGGGACAAAACTTGGAAAAAGATCAGCTCATCTTGACCCCAGTGGTTCAGGTCTGCAATGATGAGGTCACAAATGAGAGCCCCAGAGATGGATGGGAAGAGCATAGTGATCAACTGTGACTGTTGCCAGGTACTAGTCCGGGTAGGATGACATGAAGAGGAATATGGTTGTTCCTGAATTAAAAGATGATATTAGAGAGGTACTACAGTGATAAAATTGACATTCCAGAAGATTGGTTAGAAGCAGAAGTGAGAGAGAAGAGGATATCTAGGGAGACTTCCTGACTGGCTTGCTTGCCTCTGTGTGAATGTTAGTATTCCATAGTAAAATGAGGAGTATACAATAGGCTCCTTGAGAAGTTCTACGTTCCATGGCCTTAGTAACCAATGGTTAAACACTATATGAAAATTATTAAATGGAAAATTCTAGATATAAGGTATTCGTAAGTTTAAATTATGTACTATTTTGAGTGACATGAAAAAGTGTTCTGTTTTAATGTCCCTCCATCCTGCTTGGTATGTGAGTATGATTTTTCACAATGGCTTCTCGGCCAGGATATCTACTCGTGTTTCTTAAAGGGAAGGGAAGTGGTCTGGGCTTCAGAATTAATTTCTTTTTGTGGCTCAGCTATCTCATCCTAGAATGAGTGGAAGTGATGGATATAAATTGTGTTGTTTGGCTCCAAAACCCTTACTGTGATATTACAGACAGGGTCTGCCTCTTTAGCCTGTGTTCCAGAATGAAGGTAGAGTGAGCTGATTTGTAGCCACCTTGTACCTGGAGCACAGCCATAATTGTCCCTCAGCAGTCTCAGTAGCTGAGCAACAAATAAGCACTCCCTGAAAGCCACTAGCATTGGAAGGTTAATTATTACCTGCTGATGCCAGATCTGTGGCAGCTGACCAATACCACTGTCCCCTGCTTAACTCCTCCATTGTCCCCCTGCTCCTGGAGGACCCGTGTTATTCATCTTTCTGTCATCTGTCCAATATAACCTGATGTCATTTGCCAGGTTGATCTAGTTCATTTAATTTGGGATGTATAGAAAGGTTAATTCACTTGTATTAGAGCAGTATCTTCTTGCTGTGTGATCCTTGAGACAGCTTTATTTATCAGAATCATGGAATTTTCTAGAAATCAATTCTTAGATGTCTTTAAGTTTGGGGACTACTAGACTCAAAATGACCTACCAGGATTTTATCATCCCACACTGACTGGTATGAAACAAATGCTTTTGCTTGCATTTTTCCCCTAGACCAGACAACTTTTGTGATATGGGGAGATGGATGGATGGATGGATGGATGGATGGATGGATGGATGGATGGATGGATGGATTGTGGGTGGGTAGATGGATAGATGGATTGTGGGTGGATGGATGGATGGATGGATTGTGGGTGGGTGGATGGATGGATGGATTGTGGGTGGGTGGATGGATGGATGGATTGTGGGTGGGTGGATGGATGGATAGATTGTGGGTGGGTGGATGGATAGAAAGATTGTGGGTGGGTGGATGGATGGATGGATTGTGGGTGGATGGATGGATAGAAGGATTGTGGGTGAGTGGATGGATGGATGGATTGTGGGTGGGTATATGGATAGATGGATTGTGGGTGGGTATATGGATAGATGGATTGTGGGTGGGTGGATGGGTAGATGGATTGTGGGT